ATATATATATATATATATATATATATATATAATGCAAACAATAATTCAAAATTGAGAAATCAAGATATTACATCATCATACCTAGCGAACTCAAATTATATTTAAATATTGTTTTTACCAAACAGACCTTTAAGGTGATGTTAGGCCCGTCATTTTCTTCCATAATATTATCGACAGATCATTCTTTTTCAAGTAGTGAATCAATTGTGTCCGATGGGTTGGTCTTTCATTATTTCAACATTTCCTCCTTCAATGCACAGTTGAAAAATATGTAAAGTGTATGTAGTTAATAATTTAGTTTATTTTAACTATCGACCATAATTTTGTCAGCTCATAAGTCCCCGGTGTAAGCTTTTCGTATACGTTTCTGTTACAAGTTTTAAAAAAATATATTATTTCCATGTTGATTTTGGTCAATTGTAAGCTGGTTATGTGAATTCAAGTGAAAAAACGGTACACTCGATAGAACATGAGGGGGAATTCCTGGAAGGTCAACTTTTGTTTACACAATTTTGTAAAATATAAGCTACTTTTAAGCTAAATTACATAATAATTATATTAATGTGTCAATTAGTATTTTACTTTGAAATTTATAATCATCTTAATCTGTATTCAACCTTTCAGCTTCAAATATTTTCGTATCCTATAAGGAACGAAATTGGGTAACTGGCGAAACAAGTTTTATACTTACTTCTGGAGAATGTGAAACGGTGTATGAAGAAATAGAGCTTTAGAAAGGAATTTTCCTATTAAGTATATGGAAAGGTTTATTAATGTTATTGTTTGAATTCTGGGGAAGGAGTGCATTCAAGGGGGGAAAATTATATTAATTATTATTATTTAAAATAAGATGAATTTAAATGAATTTGACGAAATATATTTTATTCAATTTCATTTAATATTTCTATTTTCCCATTTCGTTAATTTTTTTCACTATTTTATTTACTTATTATAAACTATTCAAACGAGGAATATTGTATTTCATTTCACGCCACTTTATTATATTTATTACATTTAATTCGTTATTCTATATGTTCAAACATAGTTTTAAAGGAAATTTGTTAAAAGGAACAAGTGAAAATGTATTTTTCAGTTTTAGAAAAGTAGTACTACGATACATCATAAACTAAATAAATATAAATATACCATATTGTTTATTGTATATATAAGTTTACTTTTCAAATGGCATATTATACATTCTCTGAAGTAGTATATTACATTTTTTTGAGTTAAAGGTAAATCCGTCTTGGATGCATATCACTGAAACACAAATTCATACGTAATTTCATTTAGTTTTGAAATCTACTTTTTTCCAATGGTTAGATGTACACGTAACACACACTGTAGTTATTCGAGATATGCTTAAAAGATGAGTCCATACTCTCTTTGCTTTAGGTTTTAGTATTTTTGTGAAAGTGAGAGATGAGAATAAAAACATTCAAGCTTCTTTTTTTTTTAACAGACAGTTTATATGTATCCTTTGATCTTCAAGTAAGATATGATTATTATATATGGATAGAATCTTCCAAGTATTTAACAAAATTATATTTATAGAACTCAAATTTTAGATCATTAGTTAATTTTTAGAATAAATTACATTGACACTTTTGAAATTTCATAAAATTGTATAAATATTTCTTATTTTTTCTACATTAACAATAATCTTCTTTAATCATTTGAAAAATATTATACTAACACCTCTTATATACTACTGTAACTCCCTTCATTAATTTAAAAAAAATATATTATATTGTAACTTTTTATAAAAGAAGTTATTGTAAACCTTAAAAAAAAATAGGAAATATCGGTACAATTTAGTAAAATATTGGACAGTGTCAATCTAGTTATTCTAATTTTTAAGGTATTTTCATGTTTTGTAGGTATTTTTAAAGAAAGTTTTTCATTCTTTGTAGAAAAGAATAAAAATATTTTAGTAAGATATTGTTAGGAATATTATTTTGTGAATTAGTGGAAACAAAACTTTCTTATATCTTTGTAGATGAGAATAAAACTTTTCCTTGGTGTTAGTGATTTATGAAGGTACGTACTAGGCTTTTCCATGCTAATTGCCTTGTTTATCATGTTAGCATATGATTCCCAATAAAATTAAATATTAACTAAATATTTTATAATTTCGTTAAAAATAATATTCTTTAGGAATATCGTGGGCAATGAGTTAATGAAGAATGACAAAAACTCAAATACCAAACAATAAATTTTTACGAACACAAAGTAACACATTTGTTTTAAAAGCTCACAATGTATTAAAATAATAATTAATTTTACAATGGAATCTATGTTAAAGTAATTTTAACTAATTTTATTCCAAACTTTTAATTGATTGTGCTTATAGACATTGTACTACCCAAAGATTGTTGTATTCTTTACCCCCAACTGAATACGTCAAACTTCCTTTGGCAATATAACCATTTTAAATTGTGGTGTATAGTGTACTAGAATAGGCAAAGTATGTAAAACAAGCAAACTCCTATTAAATTATTAATGTCTAATCAAGTTAAATATTATCTTGATTGAGTTTAAATTATTTCCATATTTGAGACCTAATTAATTATAATGGCACTTTTGGATAAATAACTTTCTTTTAGCGATTTTTATTAAGTAAGTATTTATATATAAGTTAATTTTATAATCAAAGAATAAATAAGGTTAATTTTTTTTATATAGGGTTAGTTTTTAAAAAATAATTAAAAATATATATTATGATATTAAATAATTTATAGATTATTTTTATATATTAAAAATAAAAGATAGTTTATATGCTTTTACAATATCATAAAAAAATACGTTAATTAACATCAGTTTCATAACGAGGTCCAATATCTAAATCAAACCACTTGCAACAGCAAGTTGTCACTATTAGAAATTATTTATATATACTCTAATGAAACAAGGGTTTTATTTTACTTTTGAAAAGGAGAACATATATAATCGCTTAGTTAACTATACAAAATTTTCAGAAGATTTACATAGTAATAATGATCATCCTCTTGGATTTCAAGAATAGCAAACTATAACGAAAGATGATTGCTAGTGTAACATAACACTCACCCCGTACACTACATGAGTGAATGGCGTGGATAATATAATCATATCATCCACCAAACTCTATGTATGGCCTTAATCAATGCTCTAACATTTTCTTCTTATTTATTTATGTTTACAGTTATCTTCTACAAGATAGTGAATCTATATTTTACTTATCCATGAAAATCGAATTTAGTGCATAGAGATTCACAACAACTTATGCACATGTTTAATTAAACTGAGTTAAAGTTCTTTAATATAATAAATCTATTTAAATATAAGTTTAGAATGATAAAAAAAAATGTTCAGGTTTCTAATATATGTTGTTATTGATTAAAATTTATAAAAACTACATCATTAGAAAATTACGAGACTCATTTAAGTTGAAACAAGATTCAAATAAATTTTAAATTTTTAATAAATTTCAGTAAATAAAATATACATTTGAAAGAATATAATGCTTACAATTTTCTTATTACGATATACTTGAGTAGAGTTTCAAATGCTTGACAATTTTTTTTTACTCAAAGGAACAATAATCCCATAATAAAACTACCTACCTTCACTGACCAAGAGAGAAATTATATAATCAAATAATAATATAAATAAAATAAATAAATAAATAAAAAACAGCTGCAAATTTAACGAGAGTATCAAACAGCTCAAGGCCAAAATAAATATAAACTTGAATTCTAAGTTTTATACGCGATATTAGGATTTAAAAATGATGAATAATAAAAATTAGTGATATCTCTAGCTATGAGTCATACATAAATACACGCTTTTAATTCAGATGTAGATGTTAGTGAACCAAGAAAATGATGAATAATAAAAATTAGAATGAATTTGTACTAATTGTCATTTGTGTTTGACTTATATATCATTTTTTCTTTGTTGTCACATCGGTGTCAAATGCATAAGTGCAAATGAATTTTTGAATGCTTATTGGAGACATTTTCAACTATCATCTAATCTTACACATTTGTGTTGTTCCTTATGTTGTGTTGAGAATATTATCCACTTAAGAATGGTTGAGTTGTTCACAACTTTACTTTGAATCACCATACCTTATTTTATTAATTTTGAGCCTATAATGACATCGTTTGATTAAAATAAAGTAAAAAATGATTTAAAAATGATTTTTAAAAATACTCAAAGAAGTAAATAATAGTTTTTTAAAAATAATAAAATTATTTTTATAAATTTAGACAAACATATAAAGAAGTAGAAAATTATTTATTTAGTTAAAAATATATCTTTAAAAAATGTTTTAAACAAATGCACTAATAACAATTCAAAATAGGCCTAATATGTTGATCGGTCTACAACATAAAGGCAAAATAACATAGAAATATATTATGTTTTTATTTTGTAAAAAAATATATATGCAAAATATAGTTTTAAGTTGACCATTTAATTTTAAACTCTTGTCATTTTGTTATTTTAAAAAAAAATTATTTATTAAAGCATGAACTAATTAATATAATGTTATAAATAATGTGAAATAAAATTTTATTAAATTATTATCATTAATTATAAATCAAAAGCTAAATATTGAATTTGTTTTTTTTGAAACTTAAAATATATATTTTTAAATAAGTGCATGTCCATTAGTCCGATTGAACCCAAATTTATAAAAAATTTACCAATTAAATCAAAATTTATACCAATTTAACTACGTTATCATTAGGTCACTTGCACGTCTAATTTAACAAGTGACATGAATCGATCACCTCATCAAGGATCCGATTCAGATTTTAAAACTTTACCATTTATAATAAATATAATTAAAAATATTTTAGTAAATATAATGTATATTCTATATACAATCATGAAAATTAAATGTATTTTATATGTAAAATTATTATTATTTTCATTTACATATAGATTCAAATGGAGTATTCTAGAAAATATTTATAAAAGTCAAACAATAAGAAAAATATATAAAATATAAAAAAAAAGAGTTAATAGTCAGTCATAAAATAGTTTTTTTTTAAATATTCATTTCGTCGTATTTTTATTTTTATTTATGAATAGGAAAAAAAATTTTTGATGAATAATTCATCTCGTACTGTTAAAACAAATAAAACAAACATAAAAAAATGTTAGATTCTTAAATTCACTTGTAAGACTGTACCTACCTCAAACATGGACCCAAAAGAATCTAGGTGTGGAACTATATATTTTAAATCGTGTTGTTATTAAAAATTTATTTGTCGACTCTTGAGAGAATCAAAAAATCTGGTTGTCTTTAAACCCTCGCGAAATATGTAGCGGACTCATGATCATGAAAGGGTACAAGATAATAAACTTTTTTTTTTCTGGTATAAGCAAAAAAAAATTATATTTGTAAATAAATTTTAATTTGTTTTAATACTATCATCTCCAAAATACTTATTTATTTAATTGATATTCTATTTGTTTTTTTGTTATATATATCAGGTTTCAAAGAATAATAATTTAGAAAAATAAGTTATTTTTAATGGAATTAAAAAATATATATAAATAATTTTTTAAATTATCGTGAAATGATTTTTTTTCCTTATATGCATCATCGGGAGAAGTATTTTAATAATGTAATGAAATTTAATGTTAGTGACATTTGAATGAATATTTTGCAATTTTTCAGTTACATGCACTCTTGATTTTAATTTTTATCTAAGTAACCATTAATTATTAGTTTAATTTATGAATGTTTTCCAGTAACTTATCCGATGTTAACATGTACTTCATCTCATTGTGAATTTTCGTGATCTTGAGACGGGTCAAAATAGAATATACACCTTACCTGTCATTTGACACAAAAGTTTCATTGGACCATTTATTTTAAAATCAAAACTCATCTTTAATCTTAAAAAAAAAAAAAAAAAAAAAAGCTTATAATGTAAACATGTTTAAGTAGGACAAATGAATTGGCAAGGCGTAAGAGTTAAGATATTAAACAAAACTTAGCCATTTTATTTAAATTTCAAATTATTAGTGAATAATTAAATTAATTTTAAGTGATAAAAGCCTTCACTAACGTGAGATAGAAGAGGTTGTGGAGGAACGCAAATCTGACAACGTTAACGAAGAGGAAAATAAAACATAATGATAAAAAAAGGTTGTAAATGCAGAAGGACAAAATAAAATTATAATGAGATTAAAAACCCTACATAATAAAATTGCCTATGCGTGAACTCTCTTGATCTGAATTTGGAAAATCCATGATCAACTTAGGATCATCCTACCCATAAACCTCTCCACAAAATATCAATAGAGTAAACAGAGATCATAAAGTAAAACTATGTTTCTCGTGTTACCTTATATAAATAAAAAAAAACCTCCGTTTTTTCACTTACGTGCACAAATTGACTTAACCTTTTTCTCTATTAAGTCACAAAATTTTTACACCAAAGCTGCGAGAATTAACATCCTCCACAGCCCTTACATTCACATTCCACACACTCTAATACAAAAGTGAACAAAAGAAACCAAAGTGGTAGTACCCAATAAATTCTTCTCTCTGGATCATAAATAGGAAGAATAGAATATATATATATATGTATATATATATAAAATAAAAAAAAATTCAAACCTTGATTAATTAAAAATCAATATTTTTGGTGGACAACGTCTAGACTAGCAGAGCAGGACAAGAGGCTTCGGAAAATCCTAGAGGAGATCTCCTTAGTCTTACTCCAAACCATGCACTTGGTTTTCCGAGGCTGAGGTTGGTTGTTTTTGTTGTTGTTGTTGCCATGTTTCTTCTTCATGGCAAAACATTTGTGGGCTTTGTCTGGCACGTTGTCTTCTTCCCTTGAGAAGGTGTAGCTTCTAAGGTACATCTGCCTGCAGGAGATACTATCCACCACCCTCGGGTGACCGTACATTTGCGAACCCTTTTCTCTGTTGCAACTCACCGACCTCACAAACTCAGCATCCGATTCCGGCCACTTGTACAGGTTCACGTACGTGGCCCTCACGGGAACACGCGGGTCACGTGCGTCGTTGATGCAGTTCGATATGCAAACCGAGCTCATCTTTTCCCTCAGGGGATGCTGGACTTGAGCTTCTGTGGGGTGGTATAAATTGCCAACATTAAAAAATAAATAAAAAAGAAAAAGAAGAAAAAACTTAGATTGCAAGAAAAGGGTGTGGGAAAGTAAAGAAGGACTAATCGAATGGATTTATAGTGGCCATTTGTAAAGTTATCATGTGTGATGATTTGCAATCACTACGTTTTTCTACGTTTGGAAGCAGCTATACGGTGCCAAAACAGAGGCCAAGTGGGGGGAATCATGTCTCTGCCAATGCTATTGATGCTATCACTCCATTGCTGTTATTTCTTATTATTAAAATCGCTAGCCTTTTCTGCCCGAAAATGCCCAGACAAAACAATGTACTAAAAGTTAGGTGCTGGAACATTTGGATCACGGGTTCTACATAGAAGGCAGAAGAATCGAACTATATAAAAACGAAGGACGGGTTCGATACTGCAAAAGAAAAATAGAATAAAATAGGTCGACCAAGCAATTTAGAATGAAACAAATAAAATAAAATAATTATTATATTGTTATGGACTAATCGGTTGATCTGTCCCAATAAATACCCTGTGAGGTTGGCATTGTTGGCATGTTCAAACTCTTTGATTTTGGTTGAGGTTCTTTTGTGATTTCATTTTTAGTACTCGTAAAAGGTACCTTGAGGATTATATTAGTAGTAATCTAACTAAAATGCTAAGATGTAACAAATGTGTACTTGATACAATGACACTATCAATAGGGAGTTAAAAGTGGGCTGTATTCCTAACTCCAAGGCTCACGATATTCTTCATAATAAACATATGTTGTATTGGTTACTTCTATATGTGTTTCCGGAACTCAAAAAAACAAAAAATAGAAAAATGTGAGAAAGAAGATTGCGTGGAGGAGGAAATCACTACAATTTCAATATTATTGATAAAATCAGTGAGGGGAAACCAAAGTGAACTCGTGGGGGGGAAATAAGCATGTTTCAAACCCTTATTTGGAGGCATCCTAGAAAACTTCTAACGATTTGATGTTTGCAACCACAATGTTATGAGAAGAAAAGAGGAAAATCCATCAAAAGTTGTTTGAAGTTACTTTGCAAAACTAACACTAGAAAGCTTTGAACAAAACTTAAAATTATTTACGAAAGTGGTAAAGATGCTAAAAATAAATTAAAATTTCATCAGAGTAAAGAAATTGAATAAGGCTAAATTGACATATATTATGAAATTCACTACTACAAGAAAAATACAAAATAGCGACCGAAATTTTTCGGTCGCTATTTTGCGACCGAATTAGCGACTGATTAGAGTAGTAGCGAGAAAATCGGTCGCTAAATCGGTCGCTGTTGAATTTTTTTTCATAAAAACATAGTTTGCGACGGAATTAGCGACCGATATTGAAAAATTATTAAAAAAAATTGCGACCAAATTTAATTCGGTCGCTAATCCTAACTTTTGAATTTTTTTAGCGACCGATTCCATTTCGGTAGCAATATATAATTAAAACTTAGCGACCGAATTGAAATCGGTCGCTAAATTTTTTGTATTAAATTTTGAACTGATGTGGCTTTCCTTTATGAATATAAATATATTTTCACTAAAATTACACGGCCAGTGTTTCGATCCCTGGTCATTTGAGTGATGAGCCAACCACAATACCGCTGCACCAATTTGATTTCTTGGTTTACTATTGAAAATTTAAGTAGTAAAAAGGGTGCCATGGGCTTTCGGGCCAAATCATGAAAAAAAAAAAATAATAAGATTCATTTAAACCCTAGTTGCTTCACGACCCACCACACCTCTCCCTCTCTTCAACGCTCGGACGCCGGCCACCACACGTCCTCTGTTATCGTAATCCATCCACTTTCGTACGAGGGATCCCAAGATAGAGTGAATGACAACTTTGTCTTTGCGTGCATCCCCACTCTCTCTCTCTCTCTCTATCTATGTCACCAATTTTCAGCATTCAATTATTCACAGAAGATGATTACAACGACCAGTTAAAAAAAGTCTTTGAAAAGGGTCAAGCATTATTCCGTGTCAGGTGCAGGTGCTAGTTGGAAACGTTATCTCGTGAAAGTTCTCTTGCTTCACTTCACCTCTTTATCAAAGAAAGGAAGTTTGGTTGAATCACGTCACTGTTCAAACCAAAGTTGAGGGAGAAAATGGTATTCAACCTGAACCATAACCACAGTGGCTCAGAGTTCTAATTTTAGTCCGAGATATATATTAAGGTCTCATGTAAGGTCAACATCATTTTCAGCTAGCTTTACTCTAATCATAGCATTGGGATGTATGAAAGAAAGCCATGAAAGTTGTTTTTTGCAGAAGTGTCAAATAAATTGAATAAAAGAGGCACCTAAAATGGTTTGAGATTCTTTTTTAAAATGACTAAATTCCTGTCCTATCCTCCGTGGACAACTAATCAACATTATCCATTACGTGTCGTGCCTTCCAAATCATCACACAAGTCTTTAACGCCTTGTCAAGTAGCATCCATAATTAGGCATGGTAAAAAACACTTTAAAATTGTTTAGCAAAGAAAAACACCAAAGCCTGTGTCAGTTTAAAAAGTTTGGAAACTTTTGTAGACAACCATTTTGCTGAAAAAGCAACACAAGTAGTAGTAACACCGAGAAATCAACGGGAAACATGTCGGTTAACCAGTCTCGAAAGAATCAAACAGAGATATGGTCATTGCTGCACACTAAAACCAGAAAAATTAATTTTAAATTCACTTGCAACATATATTTTTATCAAATATCTTATTTACTGTATAATAAGTTTTATATATATATATATATATATATATATATATATATATATTTATCAAACATATTTTTTCATTTAAATCTTATTTTATAAAACATTGACAAGATGTAACAACACCACAAAGAATGAAGCACCTCATGAC